TACCAAGCATGGTGTCCTTCTCCAGGGAGTGGTCCCTTCTGACAACATGACCAAAGTAGGTGAGATGAAGTCTGGCTATTCTCACGTCTAAGGAGCATTCAAGTTACACTTCTTCCAGGACAGATTTGTTAGTTCTTTTGGCAGTCCATCGTGCTTTTCAGTATTGTTCATCAGCACCACAACTCAAAAGCATCAACTCTTCTTTGGTCTTCCTTACTTATGTCCAGCCCTCACATGCATATGAGGCAATTGAAAATACCATGGCTTAGGTTAGGCTTTCCACAGTCTTCAAAGAGACATCTTTGCTCTTCAGCACTTTAAAGTGGTCTTTTGTAGCAGATTTGCCCAGTGCATTATGTTGTCTGATATCTTGACTGCTGCTTCCATTGGTGTTGATTGTGGAACCAAGTAATATGAAATCTTTGACACCTTCAATCATTTAATTACTTGGTATGGCTTTTCTAGACAATCTTTGTCACTCCCACCAGATTTCTGGGTGGGACCATGCACGTTCTCATGTGAGGACTGATTAGTTTTACTGCTGGGCTTACAGTGAGTCCTTCTAGAGGCAGAAGAGGGGATCTCGCTGCCATCAAGAGAGAAGAGGTGAAGTGGAGTGTGTTCTTGGATTTGAGATTCTTGTGCTGGACCTCCTTGGCAGAGAGACGGCAGAGATGACTGGCAGAGAGACGGCAGAGATGACTGGCAGAGATGACTGGCTGAGGCACGGTGGCATGGAACCAGGAGGCATGAGACAGAGTGGCGGCCTGGCCGGCCTACGGAGCAAGAAAGCTGAGTGCTTTCGGGCAGGCGGCTTGTTGGCAGAGTGGGGTGCACCTATGTGCCCCTATTGGCAGAGCTAAAAGAGCTTTGTAACCCTTGCCCAGGCAGGGCAGAGGCCAGGCCTAGAGGCCAAGGGCCAGAGAGGCATGCCTGAGGGCACAGCAGAGGGACGACTGTCCTGATTGAAGAACTGCATCCTGAGAGCGTTCCTGAGTCTGAATTGTAGCCTGTCACTTCCCTGAAAAACCCCATAATCATGAGTATTGTCTGTGAGTTCTGTGTGGCCATTGCAGCGAGTTACTGAACCCAGGAGAGAGGTGGTGAATCCCGTGGGAGGGAAGGCTGGTGTCAGAACTGGTAAGGAGGTTGGAGGATGGTAGCATGTCTGGCCTCATAGGAATAAGCCTTGGGCTGCTGATGACGATTTTCTTTCCCTCTTGTGAAGTTAGAGGAGGTTAGAAGATGCCACCTCTATGCTTTTTTTGTCATCATTGTACCAAAAAGAATTGGTAGACATTCAGTCATTTCAGGAGGTAGCATATGGTCAAGAACCAATGGTATTGAGTGAAGAACTCTAAGCTGCCCCGAAGACATTGGGGAAAAACAGGGCTTTAGGAGTCGATGGAATGTCCATTGAGATGTTTCAGCAAATGGATGCAGTGTTGGAGGTGCTTACTCACCTATGCCAAGAAAACTGGAAGACAGCTACCTGGCCAGCCAGCTGGAAGAGATCAAATTTTGTGCCCATTCCAAAGAGAGATGATCCAACAGAATGCAGAAATGATTATTATTATCATTAATACCATACAAGTGAAATTTTCCTGAAGATAATTCAGAAGTAGTTGCAGCACTTTATCCACAGGGAACTGCCAGAAATTAAAGGCAGACTTAGAAGAGGATGTGGAATAAGGGATGTGATTGCTGATGTCAGATGAAAGCAGAGAGTACCAGAAAGATGTATACCTGTGTTTTATTGACTGTGCAAAGGAATTCATCTATGAAGACCATAACAAATTATGGGTAACGTTGCAATGAATAGAAATCGCAGAAAAGTTAATTGTGTTCATGCAAACCTCTACATAAGACAGAAGACGGTCGTTCAAACAGAGCAAGGTGATAGTGTACGGTTTGAAGCCAGGAAAGGTGTGCAGCAGGGTTATGTTGTTTTACTGTAGTTACTCAATCTGTGTGCTGAGCAGATAATCAATGCTGGACCACAGGAAGAAAAGCGCGGCATCAGGATTGGAGGAAGACTCTTTAACAGCCTGCATTATGCAGACGACACAACCCTGCTGCTGAAAGTGAAGAGGACTTGGAGCACTTACTGATGAAGGTCAAAGACTACCGCCGCCTTCAGTATGGATTCCACTCCAACATAAAGAAAACAGAAATCCTCACAACTGGACCAATAAACAACATTATGATAAATGGAGAATAGATTGAGTTTGTCAGGGATTTCATTTTACTTGGATCGACAGTCAGTGCCCATGGAAGCTGCAGTCAGGCGATCAAACAATGTGTTTCTTTTGGCAAATCTGATGCAAAAGACCACTTTAAGTGCTTAATAGCAAAAACGTCACTTTGAGGACTAAGGTGCACCCAACCCAAGCCGTAGTATTTTCAATTGCTTTATATGCGTACGAGAGTTGGACAACAAGTAAGGAAAACCAGGAGGAATTGATGCCTTTGAATGATGGTGTTGGAGTATTGACTATACCATGGACTGACAGAAGAACAAACAAATCTGTCTTGGAGGAAGTACAGTTAGAATGGTCCTTAGAAGCAAGGATGGCCAGACTGCCTCTTACCTACTTCAGATGCAGGATCAGAAGGGACCGGTCCCTGGAGAAGGACATCATCTACTTTATCTATTTGATAAAGCAGAGGGTCAGTGAGAAAGCAGAGGACCCCCAATGAGATGGACTGACGCAGTGACTGCAGCAGTGGGCTCCAACACGGCAGCTACTGTGTGGGTGACCTGGGACTGACAGTGTTCACTGTGTTGTACCCAGGAGTCACTGTGCGTAGGAACTGACTCCACGCCACCTAGAAAAACAAGACAAAAATTCTAATGGTTTACACTCTGGATTTGCCTCATTTTTGGTATAAATATGTTTTGTTGATGTTGGAATAACTCACTAAGAGTGAGCGATGGAGGGAAGCAGAACATGGAAATTGGTGGGGAGCCGGGACGGTGGGTGAACGGGCGTGGAGCCAGGACGGTGGGTGGACGGGCATGGAGCCGGGGTGGTGAGTGGACGGGCATGGCGCTGGGATGGTGGGTGGATGGGCGTGAAGCCGGGACGGTGGGTGGACGGGCATGGAGCCGGGACGGTGAGTGGGCGGGCATGGAGCCGGGACGGTGGGTGGACGGGCTTGGATCCGGGACGGTGGGTGGACGGGCGTGGAGCCGGGACGGTGGGTGGACGGGCGTGGAGCCGGGACGGTGGGTGGACGGGCGTGGAGCCGGGACGGTGGGTGGACGGGCGTGGAGCCGGGATGG